GCCACCTGCAAGGCACACACGTCCCCCAAGCCATGGGCAGGGAGAGGGAGGGGTATGTGGCAGCAGCAGCACGGACTCGCAGGAGTCCTCAGAGCTTGGTGACGTGGGGCTCAGTGTCCCCAAGCGCAGCACCAGATGGATGGACAGAGCTGCTCCTGGGGTGGGCTGGTGGTTGCAAAGTGCTTGGGGGTGGCAGGGGCTGCTGGCAATTGGCATGTGGGTGCCACACCCTGGTGGCACCCAGGGCATCACCACCCTCCCATCAGCACCTGGATGTCCCTGTCCCAAGAACACCCAAGGTGTTATCATGACCCCGTCAGCACCCAGGACATCCCTGCCTGATGGCACCCAGGGCATCACCAACTCGTCCAGGACCAGGACACCACTCTCCCAGCAGCCTCTGGCCATCACCACCCCAGTGGCTCTCAGGACATCATCACTGCCTGATGGCATCCAGGACATCAACCCCCAGGGGTTTGTTATCACATCACCCCCCAGGTGTTCACTGTTACAGACTCTGCCATCCCATGCCTGGACAGAAGTGCCCTCCTGGTCCCAACATACCCCACCGTGGCCTCAAGGAGCCAAGCTGGAGCCATGGCCACCCCACAGTGCCTGGCAACAGCCCCAGTCTCAGCCTCCAGCCCCAGCTTCCCACCCTGGAGGTGCAGGGAAAAGGTCTGGGCTGACCCCACCAGTGACAAGACCCGGACACGGACTTACCCACCACGAAGATGATTTTGTGCTGCTTGAGCTTTTCTAGAGGAGAGAAGGGAAAAAAATAGTTAAAAAAAGCCAGAAAGTCCTTCGGTGAGCAAAGTGTCCCCAGGGGGTGCCACATCCAGAGCAGGCGTCCCTGGGGATGGAGGAGATTGATCCCAGGGCCCTGGGGGGAGGTGGACAGGGAAGCAGCCGAGTGTCCTCATCACCTGGGCAGGTTGGGATGTCTGGACATGTCTGAGCACACAGCCCACGGCACCTCAGCCACGGGGCTGGAATCCCACTGCCACGTGGTGTCCTGGAGGCGTCACTGTCCACGGCTCCATCCCTGCAGGTGGCTTCTCACCCTGGTGGGCTAACGGGGCTGTGGCAGGCTCAGCCTGGCTCGGCCATCTCGAGCACCTGGCATGACCCAGGCAGTCCCTGGTCCCCAGCATCGTTCCTGGACCTGGTGGTCGACGTGTGGGTGGCACTCACCACCCTGTCCCCTGCCCAGTGCTCTGGCACAGGGTTCCTCCACCTGTGGAATCTGTCCCAGCTGGGGTGTGGGGCAGTGCCAGGGTGTGACACCATGGCAGGGGGAGGCACAGCTAAAAATAAAGTTGAGCTGCTCTGGGGCTGCTTTCCCATCTCCTGATTACAGCTGGGTGAAATTTCAACTCCTCTGGCACCCGGCGTTCCCCAGGACTGGGGACAGAGCCAAGTGGCTGGTGGGGACCAATGGGACGTGGGGCACGTGGAGGGGCTGGAGGAACATGGGGGATGGACAGAAGGGAGGGAGGCAAGGACACAGGGCAGGGATGGAGGGGATGGATGCAAAGGGGATCAGGGGCTGCCTGTAAGGGGGGCAGATGCAGGGGGGAGGGACAATGGGGATGAGGCATGGGGGAAAGGGGAATGCAGAGTGGACGGATGCAGGGGGAACCAAGGGGATGGATGCAGGGGTAATGGATGCAGGCAGGATCAAGGGAATGGATACAAAGGGCACAGGGGAATGCAGAGGGGATGGATGCAGGGGGGATTGAGGGGATAGATGCAGGAGATACTGAGGGGATGGATATGGGGGGATGGATGCAGGGGATGCTGAGGAGATGGATACTGGGGAGATGGATGTAGGGCATACCAGGGGGTTGGATGCAGGGAGGATGGATGCAGGAGGAACTGAAGGGATGGATGCAGGGGAATGGATCACTTACCTGTTGACATTCTGCCGTGTTCCAGGCACAGAAGCACTTAAGGCTGCAAAGGAAGAGCAGGATAAACAACTCAAGTACATCAGGGACACACAGGTCACCAAGTGTTTGTGGAGAAAAAGGGTCTCCCTTTTTGGCCATGATGGTGCCCAGCTCCATGGCCCAGTTGGGCAGGGTGGGACAGGAGACACAACCCCCGGCTTGACCCTGAAATAGGGAGCTCAGGATTTCTGCTTCCATAGCCATCACTTACCTGGCTTCCAGCAGTCACCCTCCGCATCCGGTTGCGGTGAGGGCTTCCCCGTGCCGGGTGACGCGCCGTGACGTGTCCGGCTTCCTCCCCTGCCCTGCCCACATCCCTGTGCCCAGGGTGCTGCCCGACAGCAGGAAACCCCTTTGGGATGCCCAGTGCCACCAGGACACCGAGTGATGGAGGCAGGACCCCCAGCTCCCCACGGGCTGGTTTTAGGGATGTGCCCATGGCCTAAGGAGGGGGTTGCAGCACCCCATTGCACCCCCAGGACCTCGGGGGGGTTTGGCCACCCCTCCTGCCCACACCCAACCCCGCAGCACCCGACGTGCTTGGCCACCGTGCGTCACCCCAAACCGGCTGGACGGGGTGCAGGGATGGGGCACCCAGTGGCCAGAGAGGCCCGCGGCCGGTGACAGGTCGTGTTACAGCCTCGAAAGGGCAGAGGCTAAGAATGGCCGGGCTGAAAGCGGCACCGGGTCACGTCCCCCCTGCGCTGTGGGGACGAAGTCCCGGGGCAGCCCCTGCGGAGTTTGGGGGCCGCAGGACCCCTGGATCCCTAATTGCAGAGGGCTCTGAGCCCCAGGACCGCTGGCACCAGCCTTGGCAGGGCGATGGGGGGCTGTGGTGATCGTGATGGGGGGTTGCGGTCAGCACTGGCCCTTAGTGCGGTCTCAGGGCCTGATCCGGCGCGGTGCTGGTCCCACGGGAGCAGGGTGAAGGTGATGTGGAGGTGACTGCTCCGGAGGAGATCGGAGGGCGCTGAACCCCTCGGGTCGGGGCTGGGGAGGGGGTTGGGCGGGGGGTGCAGCGTGGCCTGGGACTCCCCAACCAAGGCTATTTGCGGGCTGCGCTCCAGGGTGCTCCCACCGATCTCCCCCCACCGCCAGCTCCAACCCACCTTCCCCCATCCCATCGGCATCCAGCCCCCCCCCGGGGACCCCAGACCCAGGACCGGGCTGCTCCAGCACGGCTGCAGCCCCTCCAGCACCCCTTGCGCGCCCCCAGCAAAGGCCCCCTGCCCCGCTCCTCTCCCCCCCGTGCCCGGCCGATGTCGCGGTGCCCGTCCGGGACCCCCGGGGGTCTGGCACTGACCTGGACCCGCCGCCGCCCGCGCCGTGCCCGCGGTACCGCTATTTATAGACCTCGGCGGCGCGCGGGGCACGCCGGGAGCGCGCGGCACCGGCAGCGCGAGCGGGCGGGCGGGGGGACACGGGGGGGACACGGCGGGGACACACCGGGGGGGACAACGGGGATGGCGAGGGCACACGGGGGACACGGCGGTCCCTGCGCCCGCCCGCGCACGGAGGAGGATGGGCGGGGGATGCGGTTAAACCCTGCACGGCCGAGAGTGAGGGTCCCCCCACTGCGGGGGGAGCCCCCACCCTGCTAGGTCTGGGGTCCCCGGGGCTCCCCGCGCCTCCTCCTCCAGCCCTTCGGAAGGGAGCGCTGTTCTCACCCCTGTTCTGATGTCCCCTCCCCATCCCATCCTTATATCTCCATCCCCATATATGTCCCCATGTCCCCACTCCTGTCCCTAATGTCCCCATTCCTGTCCCCATGCCTAATGTCCCCATCCCCATGTCCCCATCCTTGTCCCTAATGTCCTCGTGTCCCCATCCCATCCCCATGTCCTCATCCCACCCCCATGTCCCCATCCAAGTCCCTAATGTCCTGCTATCCCCATCCCATTCCCATGTCCCCATCCCCAGCTGACACCCCCCTACCACCCCCGGGGGGGTTGTGGTGTCCTTGTTAAGAGCTGATTATTGAGAGATGCTTCTGCCTGAATTAAGGCGCAAACAAGACCATAGGCTGAAGTCAGTAGTACAGATTTTATTTGGCAATAAAATGTGAGGTAGAGAGATAGAAATAAAAAAAAAAAGGGTGGTAGAGGGAGAGAGACACACGGAGAGAAAGAGAGAGAGAGATCAAGTAGAATATAGTCACCACCTGGATCCATCAGTGTCCCGCTGGTCCTTCTTCACCCTGGGCTTCTTGATGGTGGGGGTCCTGAGGTCGGTGGGTTTCTGATTCGGAGAGTTGTGGTCAGTGGTCGTGATTTCCCCAGACAGAGTTACCTTTTACCCAGTCGGAGCTGTTTTCAGCAAAGTTACTGAGTTGGTTTTCCTTGTGGATTCTTTGTATCCATCACCAGTGATACATTCTTTCAGCTTTGTTTACCAGCCCGTAATCTGAGACACTAGTATCACCTTTATCTTATCTCAGGTTCCCCTCACGGTGGCGTAATTTACAGTCCAAGTTCAAGGCATATTCAGGGCGGGGGGGGGGCTTTGGGGGTCGCAGATGCCATCTGTGCCATAACCTGGGGTGGTCTTTGTTTGACAGGTGATACGCATACGAACAGTTGCCCCACCCCACAGGTTGCCACGGTGGGAACCCTTGTCTGGATACATTACCCAGAATGTTCCAGCCAGACCTTGCCAGCGCCATCCTGCCTCTGCATTCCGTGCCCATCTCACGGCGAAGCGGCAACAGTGTTTGAGACAGGCATCTGTGATCTCTAAGTCCTTACACTTACCTGCTCTTCCTCCTCTTCTTCTGTGGCTGCAGAGACCCTGGCTCAAGACCCCACGACCCCAGGGCAGGTGGCTGGGGGTGAATCAAGTTGGGGGGGTCTCAGCTGCCACCCACACCGGGGGGGTGGCTCAGAGCTGGAGTCAGCCAGGAACTGGACACAGATCCCACCTGGACACACCAGTCCCTTTCCCACACCCTCCTGAGCACCTCGGGACAGCTCCACTGTGAGCCGGGAGTCTCAAGACCCGCTGTGATGGCACCACCATCAGCCCCAAAAACCCACCCGGAGCCAGGGCCCAAGGCAACAGACTGCAGCAATATTTATTCCTGTACAAATCATTACAAAACACAGGCACCCCGCAGCTTCCCCCAGCACTGAGCCCCGCAAAACCCCAGCCACAGTCAGAGGGAAACTGAGGCACAGAGCCCTGCCGAGGCCCAGCACCCAAACACACCATATTTTAGCTGTTTTCCCCAAATCCACCTCTCCGCTGCTAAGATATTAATAACAAAATCCAGCCCCAGGGTGCCAAGGAGCACCAATGCCCCCCACTACCTGCCCACTTCTAATTGTTTATAAGCAGCTATTGCTGGTCCTTCGTTACCGCTAATGAGCAGCCCCCGCTTGTTCCTTTGGCCAGGAAACCCAAATACAAACTCTGGGACCAGAAGTGGATAGAAAAAAATGCCAAAAACCCCCAAAAGCTCCCAAAAATCCCATCATTCAGTTAGAAAAGGTTTTGGCAGTGTGGGGCGCAGCGATGCTGGGAGGGGCTGGGTGTTTTCAGGATCCTGGGGCAGCAAGGGTGGCAGTGCCACCCTCACGAGGTCCCACCAAAAACTGTGGGGTTCTGCTGAGGGAGGGGTGACTGAGGGCTGGGACTGGGGGGCTGGGCATGGCAGAGGGAGGCTGAGCTCCAAGAGGGGGTCCTTCCACCCAGGGAGTTAGGGGAAACAGTCTTTGCAGTGGCCCCAAAAGTGATGCAACCCCAAACTGAGCAGAGGTGACCCGGCACCCTCTTGTAGGCTCGCAGGGGCTGCAATGTGCCTGGACCAGGGTGGGACAGTGTCTCCTGTCCACGGAGGGGGGACACCACAAACCCTGCATTCACTACCTGGCCCCCCCAAAAACCAGCTCAAAACCCAACACATCCCAGGTGCAACGGGGCCACTGTGCACGATGGGGGCGGTCCTGTGGGAGGCACCCGGTGACACCCCGACGCCTGGCTCCCACCGCTCCCAGGGGGATGCAGGGAAACCCCCATCCATCCCAGCTCCAGGGGTCTGCCCGGCAGGTGGGGGGACAGCCCCTAGGGCCAGTTGGGGTGGGAGAAGGTGATGTTGTAGAGGCCGGCCCAGCTGGCGAAGACCCTCTTCTCGGTGATGAAGCGGTGGTGGTTGCCCTTGCGGCTCCGCTCGTTGTGGATGTAGGTCGTGCACTCGTCGGGGCCCTTGGGCTCGTAGTAGTGGTAGGGCAGGCGGCGGGGCGGGGGGTGGTGGCTGTGGTGGGCAAGAAGCATTGTGTGAGCCCCATGGTGGGGCCAGAGGGCCAGGGTGGGGGCTCAGGGGTCTCCTTACCCGCAGTAGCTGGGTGGTACCATGCCGTAGACGTGGACGGCGTCGCACAGCTCCACCGCGATCACCATGGTGAACCAGCCAGTGCTGAGCCACGAGCGCGACTTCTCCCTGGAGAGGGAAAAAATGGGGTTGGGAAGGATGACAAGGGTAAGGTGATGTGGA